GCATAAAAATTACAAGAGAAAAAACGGAAGCTGTTGGATTGCTATTACATAAAGATATTCGGTCAACAACAAGGCGTTTATAGAAGACCGTCACATACCCACAGTAAAGTAGCTTGCTATGCTTAACAGTTGAAATTTATTACCTTTCAAGAATTTTAAGCTATTTAGTATGCTGACAGTAGTAAAAGATGTTTCCCAGAAAAAAATGCAGAAAATTTTGTTACAGCAAGAAGTCAAAAATAAAACCATTTTTTGAGTGAAGAAGTATAAAATTGAAAAATAGTAGTTAAAAAGCTACTTGCAACTTAAAAGAATAAAAAAGCATTAACTCTAACAAATGTGATTAATGGGATCTTCTACTGTAATGGTATATTTTCTTCTTTCTCAAATTCTTTTGCTACATGTTTTGCACTGTTTTCTAGTTCAGTAATTTGATAACCCTTTTTTTTTCAAAAAAGTCAATTGTGCGGAAAGCTGTTAATGAATAAAGCCTAATTTTATATCATTCACTAAGATTAAAAAGTTACCGGTTTTTTTGTTGTTTTTACCCGTAGCATACGATGCATTCGTTCAGTAAAGTAACTGCAATCTTTAAACTGGTAAAACTGTAAATTATCGTCTTTTTCTTTAACTGTAACTTGGTGGCTTTTGTTATCCGCATTCTGGCCTCCTAACAGTCTGTTTACTAGCAAGAAGTCTTTTCAAAAAATTACTTCCACATCAGTTGTGCAAAGAGATGACAGTGCGAACTTCTCCTTGTCGGCTAATTGTTTTTATAACTTAAAGGAAGGAGAAATGCTACCTTTTTTATTGTAGGTGCAGTAAACAAAATCAGTTGATATTTTGTTGACTACATTCCCAGTAGTGCTCAGGCATCAAGAGAGAGACGCCACAATACACGCTAAAGTAACAGAACCCTAGAGTGAGAAATGCAGTCTTTCTAAAGCACAAGATAAGCCAGACACTGCTAAGCTCAACAGCGATTACAGGTCTAATTACGATTTTTCGTCATCAGACAAAAGCAGTTTTTTGCTTCACAGTACGTCACCTGAACTAAAAATTTTTTTACTTGGTCTTGAAAATTCGTGCCTAAAAAGTTCACATGAATATTTTCTAATCGTGAGACGGTTGTGAGACTTGTTATTCAGAAAAGAAGCCACCAATTATATCTGACATTTCCAAATTTTTAGTAACTTACCAAGCTTTGTAACCTTATAATTCCTTCATTTTCTTATACAGCTGTGTAGTTGTTGTTCTGTCATTAGTGCTGTTATCATCGTTCATTTTCAGTTGAGAGGTTGAGAGGTAATCCCTGACCAGCTAATTTCATTATAGTTTGTGTTGTTGCAAACTTATAAGATGAAAAATTCCGCTGATTTGACGTCTGAGGAATACTGATCTGCTAATATTGGTTGGACCTCTGCGTATTTTTGTAGCCGATATGGTAACCAGACTTGATTCAGCAACACTTTTTAATTTCCGGACAATCGCTGCCTAGCTAACATCCGACGGCACCGTTGTGTGGTGTTAGCTATACTTAACGGCTATCGACAACTTAAAAAACGACAGTAATGACGATTCTGATTGAGACTATTTGGTAGCAATTGTTTGGGTGTCCATAGTAGAGGACGAATGAGTCGGTCACCAGTAATTCATGCATAATTGGACAACTACCACTTACCATAGGCTAATTTGCTGATCAAAATATGTCTATAAACATGAACACATAAAAATGTCTGTTTTTTTTTCGCTACCATGTTGTAAGGTTTAAGCCCTACTTGGAAGGACTTTTTTTGTAAAATTAGTGGAAAACTGAAATTTTTATCTTGTTGCTAAATTATATTTAATGATATTATTAGTGTCATAACACAATCGAACGTCTAACGCTTGATAGACTGTGCCTACACATTTACTATACAGTTAATCATAAATTTTTTCTAAGGGTTATTTTGACTGCTCTTTGACTGCTATTCCGACAGTCGTAACTTAACAGTTTTAACTTTACTGCCCGCCCCTCTCCCAATCGCCCTTCTACATTTACGGCAAGGTACGTAATCCTTTCGAAACAAACAGCTATTCTTAAAATACACCTGTAGAAAAATCTTTTGTTTTTTCGATAATATTTTTCAACTTTTACCTTTGAGAAAAAAGGTCAGTTCTCTAAGTGACAAGCTCATTTCTAAATTAAGGGTTATAATCCCTTGTATACGTCGATGCCTACCCAGCTTCTCTAACGGGCCACCTGATTACAAAAACAAAACCCATAACAAATCGCGTAAAAAACCAAGCCTAAGTTTTGAAGTGTAAATGAAAATCTTAATTACTCAAAAAATTGACTACCTCTTGTACTCCAAATCAATATCCGTGCACCTTTTCAAGTTTACTGTGTCGCAAGATGTGGTGCAAAATGATCGGTCTAGTTTGTTATACAACCAGCACGGGAAAATCACTAACCTGAGCCATAGTAAAATGATCTGCCTAAACCAAATCAGTCCATAACAGCATACATGCACAGCTGCTGCGGTACAGAACCACCGTTTAGTTGTCTGCCGAGAGAGGAGAATCACATTTTCGGGCGTCTACTAACCAACACCTTTACTTGCCCAGAACGGAAAAAGCAAGTAATCTTTCGTTGGCGCGGCTGACGTTCGTCGTTTTTTCACGCAAGATTATTAATGCAACCAAAGGCTCATTGAACTTCAAAAAATCTATTTTTCCAGCAAAAAACATTAATTTGGACGAACGATTCTTTTAAATCCCATTGCGCACCAAAACCCCAGTAGCGAAGCATTCTTCAACCAAAGAATCTCTCACGTCTCACCAATTCACTGGTCAAAATTACACGGTTGGAGCAGTCAACAACTGTATAACTCCATTTACTTGCTGGCACTTCTGAAAAATACTATATGCACTTCGAAACCATTTATTTAAAATTACTAACAAACAACTTCAGGCGTTACCAATAACTCCCAAACCAATCCCCACTTTTCTAAAAGAACTAAGTTTAGTTTATCACCTCAGGCAAGCAACTACACTAACTTCTGCAAAACATGAAACTTCACTCAATCTAATTCTTCAGACAAACGATTCTGAATTATTGCCCTTCACGCAACGCAGAACCCTCTCCTCTAAACCGCCCTACACCGCTACAAAATCACTTCGGCTTCATTCGACTTTTGGAAAGTTTCCAGTGAGTAACGATTTAATCCAATAACTACTAAACAACTGAAACACAGCAGATGTACTCTACAGTATGGCTCGTTTTCGCAATGCAGTCCCAATCTCCAGGCCTACAAAATACAGCAAAGAGTAGATAGTGAACTACCTCTGTAAACAGTTACCTCGCGAATGTAGTTACATAGGAAAACTCCACAATTCAAAAAAGAGCTCATGCTGTTCATCAGTTTTAAACCGCCTGCAGACCTGCCCAACAAACTTTGAAAAGGACAGCGGAGCAGCTTTTTTTTAAAAACACATTCTAGACTAACTGCATTCCTCCCAACTCTGACCGGAAACCTCTCATTTTGCCAAAGACACAGCAGAATTGCGTAAAATTACTCACTGCCGGTCAAAGCAGTGAGGCAAGCACAAGAAGAACAATTAAATAAACTCTCGTGCGAAGAAGACAAACACAATAGGTAAAAATCATGTAAAACCTGCCGTAATGCGAATGTCCTACATAAGCTTACAGAGCACCAAATATAAAAATCATTTAGCGGAAAAGCTTCAGGACAATTTTCAAAGTATATGTCGCAAAATAACTAAAGCACTATGAGACTACTGTATATTACCAATGAAGCTATCATTATAGAACACGGCACGCATTTACTACTCCAGACAAAACAGGCTCGCTTTGGCAGAGTGCAGCAGAAAACACTGAGCACTAAGAAAAATGAGCACAACAATTAGGGAAAATAACAATTAAAAAGCTTAACTTTAACAAATTACTTACCGATACAGCTTTAAAAACAGCAGTTTTACAAACCAACTGTCTTAAAAGCCTGACTATACCTTTCAAGACACTCTAACAATTATTTCAGACTAATTTAAGAGACCAACACGAGAGTACTCTCAAAGTCTCGCGGAGAATATTCTGACCTCATGTAATCTTCTTCAGTTTGAGCTTTAAACTAATATGCTTATTAATGGGAAAGACTATCAAGAAAGAAAGCACTGATCCATTTTTAATTAAGCTATTAAACGAATGCAACCTAGCCTAAGTAAGGCAAAACCTAAACTGCCAGCGCCTTTTAGAAAGATATTAAAACTGCTGCCTCTGATAGTTTAAACATTTAGGCGGTTGTGGTACTTTATTTCACATTGTTTACTAATCGTTCATGCTAATTTCACACCCGCAAATCTGGCAGCAAGCAACGATGGAGAGTCTACTCCCTCGACATTCAATGCCTGATACCGACGAATTTGCTCACGAACCTGAAAAAGGTTTTCAAGCAAGATTTTTCCTGATAAATTAAAAATAAACAAAAGCTTGGCATTTATATCAAAAAATGCTTACTTTCATGCTAATAAATCCAAGAATGTTTTTCCCTTCTCCAACCAGTGGCACATAATCTAATGTGGAATCATCAATGTTTTGTGGAACCTAAAAGTACAAAAGAGCACCCTTCAAATACATGCCAAAAAAAAGAGAACTCTAAATAATTCTGAAGGAACATCAGATTCTGAATATTAATAAGCTAGGCCAGTCTGCTTGAGAAAGCTCTATGACAGAGCATATATAATCTGCAACAGTTCTTAATCGCAATAAACCAAAAAAATATAGAGTATAAGTGATCAGCACTTTGCAATTTTTACATGATAAAAAGTAAATAAAATAGAGCTGGTTTGTGAACCAAAGTTATTTTAGTAATATATTACTTTTAATACTTGCCCATCCATGGCTTCTGCCCACTTCATAACTGCTTCTTCATTACAGGCACTTGCAAACATATTATCGTATTCATAGGTATGCACTAGAATAGCGTTACCTGTTTTCAGCAACTTTTCTCTTAAATCAACGTTTTGCAGAAACTTATGGACAATTGCGTGGTGAAGCAAAATAGGTCCGTGGGTGCGTCTCCAAGTTTCAATCTTAAATTGTGAAGTCGCCTCTTGCAACCGATGGAACCAGTGAAATAGGAAACAGAAAAAATAAAGAAATTTTGAGATACCTTTTCTACAGGAACTTTGGCAACCCGTAAAAGCTTTTTCGCTTGTATTTTGACACGACCGCCGTCGCCGATTTGACGAAGTTGTTCTGCATAACCAGAGCCAGCAAGTGTGTAAACCTTGCAAGCCTGATAGTATTGCTCCAAACTAGAATACTTGTGTCCTTCCACTTCCAAAACAGACTGAAAAATTTATTATAAAAGGACACAGTTATCTTTTCACAAATTATAACAGCGAAAAAGAATTACTTTGCAACATTTTATAAAGTTAACAATGACTGAGTGAAAAATACAACACCAACCGGATAGAGGCTTGAAAGGAAGTGCGGCCGGCCACTAAAACAGATTATGTCGCTTGCTGACACATGGTACTTGTCGACCTTCATGTCCTCAGGCAATTCCTTAACCTAAATATCACAAATGTTTGTCGCTCCAAGGTTTCAAAGTAGAAGAGAAAGCATGTGCTCTTACCGCTGGCTTAACAAGATTCCGAGGACAGCGTCCAGTTTTGTAGCTTCTGTTTCTTTCCGTACCACTTGTATAATACCCGTCATTGTTTTCATACCCATAAACTTTTTTCGGATAAGTTGGATAATTCTGTAATCGATTAGTATATAGCCCAACAAAAACTACTGCAGAACGTTCCGGCACATCAGCTTATGGGTTTAAGAGCAGAAGAATGGATAGTACAAAAGTGTAACTTTTAAATGATGAAAATAGAAAGCCTGTTATAACATATTGTAAGGTGAAGGCCAACCTCAACACGACTTTTTTTTTCATACTTTTCTCGTGCGAGTTCCTTCTGTTTTAAGGTTGCGGGAGTCGACATACCATCGAAATATTTAAAGAAATTTTTAGGCTAAAAAATGATGGATTTGCAAAAGTAAAACAGCTCTAACCGGCTTTTAATCATTGATATCTATTGAATGGTTAAGAAAACCACGTTATGCCATCTCAAGTGAAACTTTTCTGAATATCCTTCTAGCTGAACAGTGTTCTTAGTTAAATCGGTATAAAAGCCATTTATTTTTAACTGTTAAACACTTGAAATTATTCAGTGCAGTTACGAAAATCCAAAAGTAGAGGTGTTGCCAATAAATGGACTGGAACTGAGTGCAGTTTGAAAAATGTGTTAGAAAAAACTTTACTTACTGTTAACAAACTAACTAACTTAGTGTTAACATACTAATTAATGTTTTGATTCAACTAGTATCATCTGTTTAAACAACAAAAAAAAAAAGAAAAAAAGTGAAATGACAAGTAATCTAAAATGCAGCTGCTAACCACATAAATTCAGGCGAAACATAACAAAACAAAACCACAACCGCCCTCCCTTTAAACATTGCAATGAGACAACAGTCAGCCCTGCCCCCTTCAGCTTATTGGGAAGCAAATAAGGCCATTCTTCACTTGCGCTTACAAAAATCTGCAAATGAAATCATGAGAGTAATATATTTTTTGAAGATATTAGGTAGAGAACCATCAAACCCAGCTAAGAAAAAAAAAAAACAGAGAAAGCTTATCACCTATAGCGGCTTTAGCCGAATTCAGCAAAATAATGAGAAGAGATTCAATATGCATGAGAAATGAAGGAATCGTTAAGTTAACACAAAGTTAAGCTAAGTTCTTCTATGCAGTTCTACAAATTGCTTTTTCAGTAATTTTAAGTCACAAAAAGAACACCAAAAACATAACAAATACTTATACGTGTTTCGTCTGAAGGACTAGAAACCCTTGATGATTCCCCGGTCGAACAAATAATCAAAACTGATCAAACTCTGAAGCAAAATAAATTGGAGTTGAAACATATAAGAGACATAAGTACCACACAGTTAAATCACATCGTTTTAGCTGAAGAAATTTTTTTGATAACGAGTATACTCTTGTTTTACTTGTAGAATGCTCTAGACCTACGTAAGCTTTTATTGCGAACTTGGTTTCCGCATAACTCCAAATAACCTAAGTTTTATACTCAACAAGTCAAAAAATTTCCTAAACTTCTGCATTGCGGCGTTGTCTTAAGTTCATAATTACTCCTGTCAACCTCTCAGCTGCGGCGATGAAGACCTTGAACAAAAAACCATTCAACTGCAGCGCTACAACCAAATAAGGTCTTTGTGGGTGTTGAAAAAAACAGTTGTTCTAAGAAAAAAGAACGAGGATGACGGTATGAAGTGCTTTACTTGATGTGCTTGTATTCGGAGCATTTACAGTTAGGAAAGCACAAAATCGAAGCAAAAGATAAAAGTAAAAGTCCCATTGGTATTGTGATTTGGTACGAATGCAGTAAGACTGATGTTCCACCAAACGATCTCTCAGAAAGCTAACTGTAGAAACGTGTAAGATTTACTCCTCATATTACTCCAGAAATTTTCTAGTTTTGGTATTTATAAAATGTTTATAGAAGCTGACTTTGTGTTTTTTTTGAGAAGCCACTGCCAAAGCGTCTGTCTGACTGCAAGAGGTTTTTTTATTTAAAATACTGCTTACTTGTTTCTTATCTTTTGCCGTTTTTTCTAAGTTAAAATCTGTTATTCACTTTCTATATTAAAGCGGTATATACACTTAAATCCCCCTGTCAAAAATTTTCTTTCGGTCATTTTTTTTAACTTGTATTTGAATCAAAAACGACTTTATTTTTCTTAAGATAAAAACCAATTTAAAAGAGCAAATTGCTGGAGGTATTGAAGTAACTGTTTACCATACTATTGATGTATCAGTAGATAATCAAAATCTGAATCATTCTTAGCTACAGTTGAATTTTATTAATTTTAATTCTCATAAAGAAGATTTTTGAAATATTTTTTCCGGGACTTTGCTCTCATTTAGGTTTAATATTTTGGAATTCTGATAAAAGTTGCTCTCTTCTGCTAAGCACTTCGGGGGAAGGCTTTACTTTTAGAATTATGAATGCCACAGCTACTAACCCAGACTACTGAAGGAACATCTTCGAACTTCATTGTTTCAGCGGTGCTTTTTTCCTTCAACTGACTTGGTTGTAATGGAGTCTCAGTAATATAACGCTAACACTGTCTTAAATTCCGTTAACAATTACTTGCTTTGCAAGAAAAAGGTGCTGCTGGGCTCTCTTAAAAATAAGCTTTTACGGTTCAAGCAAAAATGTACCGTTTCAGGCTCGCTGCTCAACGTTTTTGCCACTAAGAAATGAACTTGTGTTTCACTTAAAAGAGCGTTTTAAGGAAACGTGTAAGTCAATTTGGAGAATTTTAAATTTACAGTTCAAATGCATCTCATATTTTGTATTAGCTATGAAAGGTGTTTTTGAGACGTAGAACCAGGAATGTGCTTAAACCAATCAGAACTCTGGTGCTTCTTAAAAAACTTAGGAACTGTAAGCAACTGTACTGTTGCCGATGAAAGACATCCAAAACAACATGGTATAGTCGAACCAACCTTTACGCAACATCGCTCTTCTTTTTGAGAAAGAGTGCCAGTCTTTTATAAAAGCTTTTCGGTATTAGTAAGGAGTGAGCAGCCTCAATTAATAGACAAAGGATTTAAGCAGTTTTGCTAGTGATAAGTAAGGACAAGCATTAACGACAAGTTATTTCCTATCTTTTTTACTTGTATCACTTCGGATACCAAACGGACTTCGTAATGAAGGTTTGCAGTATGAATGAACTAGTTGGTGTAGTTCTTGACAAGATTAAACAAATGCATAGTTTTTGTACTTTGGCACTCAATACGTTCCTCATCACAAAGAAAATATAAATTTCAGTTAGAGACAAGTAACTTTTATATACAAGCAAATAAGATTTCTCTACTGTTCTTGTAGGCTAACTGAGTTTACAAGCAGCGACGGTTTCAGTTACAAACAGCAGCCGAACTCAAAACACGATAAAGAATACCAAAATATAACTCCAAATACCGTAGGGGCTTTGTATAGCTTAATCAGTTTTAAAGTTTACCTCTCTTATTGATAAAGAAAAAAAGTTCTGTACTTTTACTCCTCTTCTTTGACCTGTACTATGCAATAGCATATTTTTGACTATAAGAAACTTTCATAAGCTTTCACTATGAGGTGACTTTGGCGTTCAAAGCGAAATAGTGAGCAAGAATTTTCTGCATTTGGTAAAAAGTGCGGCAGTAATAATGGTAGATGTACAGGCTTAAGTGCAGAAGTTTTACCTCAACAGGGTACTGAAGCTTTTTTTTGATAATTATAAAACATTTTAACAAAACCCTAAAAAAACCTGACCTACTGTTAAGAAGAGTAGAACAATTTAGTGACTTTTATCAATTTTGCATAACGGAGATCGGTCAGAGGATAAGGCAGCATTAGCTCAGGTGCCTTGAGTCAAAAACTGTAAAGTCAAAAGACTTCAATGAATTTCTGCCAAAAAAAGGGTGTTACAAAAAGCCGTTTGGTTTGAAAAAGAATTTATTTACAGTTGCAGATTCGTTAGAAAGTTGATTCACCGACTGACTAAAACCTATTTTCAAAAGCCATCTTCGCTGATCCAAGTTTAAATTAGTTCTCGCATAATTTTTAAGAAACAAAATAAACTTGCTTACGTAAAAAGAAAGCTAATCTAATGGTTTTGTGTCTAAGAAAAAAATTTAAAAGCCTGGAAAGCTTCGCATCTAATAGGTTACCAGCGGCTTGACAGATCGGTAAAGTGAGCACAAATTAGTCCTGATTGAGTACTGAAGTTAAAAAATGAGATAATCATTTCCTCTAAGAATTTAAAAACAGAAGAATAATTTGTGATATAGCAACCGTGTAATGCATCCAAAGCATTAAAAAAATTATGAAGAAAATTGAGTAGAGTCAACAGATTTTGTAACATTTTTTTTCCTTCTTCATCTTTCAGGCAACAAATTGTTGTGTTTAAAAAATCTGAAGTCGATAGCGATAACCACACTGAGAAACTTGCTGTAATTATTATCAGGGAATTGCAAACAGTCCTCTAAGAAGTTGTAAATTTTACTAACTTCAACTTTTTTTTAAATTATAGTTTTGTTGTATTTACTGGTCAAAAGATAAAATACTATTTATATGATTTTAATAACTTTCTTAGTCAAAAAATCAGAAAGGGCTGACGAAATTTTAAGACAGAAAAATATGAGTAACACCAGAACAAAGAAATTGTGTATTGCTGAAGTTTTGAACGATTTACAGTTGACGAAGCAACTAAGAATTCGGACAGTTTTTTTTTTTTT